AGTTAGAGATTGAGAAAGGCAAAAGTTGTGGGCTTTAATGCCTGCAGAGTCACTGACACTAAAGCCAAGCCATTCAGTATGATGAACATTAAAATCACTCAACGGAAGAGACTAAAAAGACTTAACGGAAGAAAAGTCGAAGACCACGAATATTAGTGAATGATAGGTTTAGCGAACTTGGTGATGACAGTGTTTTTTTTGTGTTTTATAGTTTTTGTTACTTTATTCATTTTTAAATTTGTTAAAGAACTTGACTTGAAACATAGATAGTACTCAGTAGACTGTTTAATAGCCCAAGCAATTGCCTCATTACTAATAATAAACCCTAAGCTGTAATAAAGGGCTCCAATGTGGCCTTGGCAATGCACACCAAAAGCACAAACAGGGACACCATCCATGCGCAACATGGCATTGTTAATACTTTGATATTTTTCAGCTGTTGATGGAATCAGCCTCTCTGAGAGCTACCACAGAGTTCAGGAAACCTGACTACCACCCGGCCTTAGAACCATAAAACTGAGTTTTAGAGCTATACCCTCATTAGGAGATAATAGAATGAGTTGCCTAGTCATAAAAACAGAGACACAAGCTAAGCCCATGCATCGAGTCAAGAAGATTCAGCATTTAACACCCTAAACTGGAAACAATGTATTAAAAATACATCTGTGCCAGCCTAATAGATGAAGAAGGGTGGCGAGGCTGGTCAACAGATAGAATCTGTTTACCCCTTGAGACTTTGCCTAGGAGGCCTTCTACAAGACAGTAGCCGGATGTGTTTGACATCTCCCCAAGATGAGTATTTTTATCGAGACACCATTTCTAGCCTTTACTCAACCAAGAGCCCCAAGGCAGGGGGTGTTTTATGTCAGAGTTGGCACCTCCTAGCCTTTGCCTAAAAAGCCGTATCCTACAAGGCAGCAGGACATGAATTATACTCAGTACAAATAAATTAGGCATTATACTCAGGATAAATAAATTAGGAGAATTTAGGAGTATTTGAGAAAATCACCTATACTTTAGGAGAAATTAGGTCTTTTTAGGATGTTTTTCAAATATTAGGACATTTTAGGATTTTTTAGGAGACGTGGCCACCCTGAGTAGTAACATACAAAAAGCTGCTAGTTCTACCAGCAAGACACATCATGTATTTATAATGAAAAAATGATTCAGGAAACATCATTGAAATCTGTTTTAAAACTTAACTCACCTTTTGTGGTAAAATACTTTTCAAAAGTCTTCTTAGCTACAGGTTTCCTTAGCTACAGTCTTCTTAAAATTACTTTACTGAACTTTTTTAGCGAAATGTTACTGTACTGAGCATTGTTACTTTACTGAACTTTATGTTTAGAAGTCTATTTAAAACTTTTTTTAAAGTTTTTAAATACATTTTTTTAAACAGAGTAATCGTTATGTTCATTAAATCTAGCAATTCTTATTAACATTGGCAATTGGGCATTATAAAAGAAACAATTTCAAACATGCATCAAATGCAGTAAATACATTTGTTAAAGAAACCATGTTATTTTTATATTCAACTTATTCCGTTATTACAAAAATTATTAATCAAATAACATATTTTACAAATAAATAATTTATTTTCTCACTTTCCTATTATATAAGTATTGAGAAAAAAATGCCAAATGTAGCAAAAACATTTTTTTCAAAAACAAGTGACGTTCAAAACGAAAAAACGTAAGAAAAAAAAATTAACAAAATTTCTCATAGTTCTAGCGTACATAGCAAATTAGTTTCTTAATTATATGGACTTATAAAAATCATGAATAAATTGCTTTTCCAAACTTCCAATTGTTGTTAAATTGTTATAAAACAAAATGTTTTTTTTCAACAACGACTCTAAAAAAAGAATACAAAAGTTGTATAAAAAGTAAATAAAAATTTTTATTATTATTTAGTAAATAAAAACTTTTATTTTTTTTATTTACTTTTTTTAATTATTAAATTTTTTAGTTTATTTAATTAAACTTGATATTTTGTTACAATTTTGTTTTCTTTTTTTTTAGATTGTTTTTTTTTCTTTAGTTGATAAGTTTAGCGTTTTGCCACGAATTATTAAAACGCTTTATAAGTTAAAGCGATCAAGTCCCGAGACATGTTGTGTTCATATTAAAGAGAATGTTGAAAAAAAACGCCTGAGCAAATTTTTTTTTAATTAAAACTAATTAATAAATGTATACCAAGAAAAACAAATCTTGTTGTTTTACTTGAAGCTCATCTTCTCCATTTTCTGCGGTATTTTGAGTATGTAAAATAAACGCGATTTTCCAGGCACATTATACAGACTTAATCATTTATTCATGCGTGTTTAATTCATAGGAGTTTTAGTGCATGACGTCATTTTTTTTTTTTGTTTAAAACACCGATTGTTATTTTTTACATACAATTTCCAAATCATATTCATTTTTATTATATTTTAAAGTTCTAAAATGTGTTCGTAAAAAAATTAAAAGCAAAATAGTATTTTATTTGCGCAACTTTTTTTAAAAAACCGTCTAGACCACGTGTATTTTAATTTCTTTTGTTATAAGTTTTTCTTTCAAAATATTAGATAAAATAATTTTTAACCTAAATGATAATGAACTTTTATTAATTTACTTTGTAAATATTATAAAAAAAATTATTAACGCATTTTTTCTCTGATTTTCAAAAATATATTTTTTGGTATTGAGGTTGTATCTTATTTCATTATTTATATTTCCATTATTATAACATCCAATATATATATTATGGCGGGGGCTTAAAAATTAAAAAAATAATATATATTAATTTTTAAGTTCCTGTGCGTTTATTAGATTATAAGTTTTAAGTAGTATTATTAAAAGACTTCGTTGCAAATGCAATTGTTGTTTAAAGTTTTGTTATTCATAAAATTGATCAAATTGTTTTAAAAGATTTACATTTATCATAAAAAACTTTTTAGATAAATAAAATGTTATTATATATTATATATTATTATATATTTATTTATAATAAACTTTATAAGACTTTGATAACAAAAAAAATATACTCAAAATTTTTATTTTAGTAAACAATCAACTAAAATTTGTTGCTTTGTTAAAAAGTACTTTGCTAATATAAAATTGATTAGAGATGTGCCGGAACCAGTTTATGCCGAGTCCCTGATTCCAGTTACCCGGAAGAAAATAATGGGTACGAGTTCCAATACCCAGCACTAAGTCCATTTTAAAACGTTGGGAATAAAAGCTTGTGAAATCTCTAGCGCTGAAATGTTTTTACAAAATGATGCTGATTAATTTGCACTAATTAAGTTTGCCTAAATTAATCAAGTTTCTTTTTAATAAACATCTGTATTTACACTCGAGATCACAAGTTCAAATTATGCAAACTAAAGTGTAAGCTCGATGTTCGTAAATTGTTCATTTTGTTATTCTCAATGTTCTTTTTCCCTCAGGGTTGTTAATATTTGGAATAACTTGCCATCTGACGTCGATAATGCAAAAAACATCAACAGTTTTAAAATCAAAATCAACTCTATCAACTTCAAAAATACTTTTCCAACTAACTAATTTTTGTTTTATAATTGTGGTATTATATATAATGTATATATTTTTTGTAATTTATTGCTAAATAATCGCTAATACGCGCTAATTAATCAAAAATTATGTTATGGAAAATAAAAGAATAAAAAAGACAGAGAATTGCAAAAACAAAACAAAAAAAAAAACAAAAAAAAAAGTGTTGACCTTCTTGACTGTAGTGTAAATAAAAAAATATATATTTTAAGTGAGACATGTTTATATTAAGTAAATAGGGCTTTGTGGCTATCTACTCCATAACACTCGAAGACTTATATCAGGAAGTTTATTGGTTGAAGTTTAAACTAAATGCAATCCTGTTAATAATATTTCAACATAACTAAGTACCACTTAAAAAAATATTTACACCACTTAAAGTTCAGGTCTATAAAAAACTTTTTAAGATAACTGGTGCCAGGTACTGAAACAAAATGGGCAATTCCGGGTACCTGAGAAAACAGCGGAATTACCAGGTTTCTGGATCCAAACCGGGTACCTGACACACCACTACATTTGATTAGAAAAGATTAAAGTCTATGAAGTTAACACGTTGGAATTTTTATTTGGACATACATGAAAACATACTTTAGCTTGAATGTTTTAAAAAATCTAACAAGCCGTGGTAAAGTTGTTGCAACAAAATATTTTAAACATGGTAGGCACAGAGTACAACCACATACCATTCCCGACCAAGCCTGGGAAGCTGGTAATCGTTTTTATTTTGTTTGAAAAATGTTCTCAAAACAGCAAAATTTTTAAAATCACAAACAATAGTGTGTGAAGAATAAAATCACTAATACTTGACATTTTCAAAAAAGATAAGCTTTCTATAAAAACTTGTTTTTTTAAGATATTTTTTTGCAAAAAATAAATCTGTAATTTAAGAATAGATCTATTTATTTATTTTATTTGTTTGTTTATTTAAATTTTCATGCTATATATTTCTATACAATGTTATATCTGAAGATATTGTTGGCTTAGCATAGGAACAACCACAAATAGTCATTAAGACTAATCCAAAGTAGCGTCCGTTATTGACCAACATTTTTGCGTACAGAAGTACTACTCAAGCGCTGAGTTGGCAGTGGCAGGATTTGAACCCATATCATACAACAGTCCGGGTTTTAACATTTTGTTTGAGCTATCCAGCAACAAATCCAACTTTGAACCAAACATTAGCAAACCAAAATTAAAAAATCAAAATCATATATCCAAATAAAATAACAGAGATAACAACAATTGTCATGATAACAGAAATGACAACTTTCATGACAATTATCATGACAACAGAAATGACTACAATTGATACATTCTTTTATAAAAAAAAATAGAACCTTATATTAAAAACATAAAGTTTTCTTTGAAAACAAACTTATTAACATTGCTTGAGTTTATCTAAGAATAAGTTTAATATAAAATTTACAGTTTAAAAATATATCAACATACTATTTCTAGGGTAGAAGTTTTGACCAAAACAGCAGGAAACTCAATGATTTCGTGTTGAAATCCACTAGGATTAGGTTCATCACAAGTGGCTTCAAAATCAATGACAACATAATAATCTACATAACAGCTTTTTGGGTTTGCAACCAAATTGTTTTCTGCAAGATGTTGTTTCTTCACTTGAGCTTTCAAACGTTTTTGAAGTATCTCTTTTGTACCTCTAATTAAAAAAGTTGAAGAACATTTTTTATCAAAAAAAAAAAAAATTAAATGTGGATTATCAAAATTATATACATACATATATATATATATATATATATATATATATATATATATATATATATATATATCATACATACATATATATATCATACATACATATATATACCATACATACATATACATATATATATATATATATATATATATATATCATACATTCGTATATATCAGGACTCGAATTAAGCGTATCGCTATTTGCGATTGTTTTTCACATTTTTGCGATTTTTTTTTTGTTTATTTATTTTTTTCTAATTTAGCATTTTTTTTTTTGGTAATTCTTAAAAGTAATATTTTTGTCTAAGTTTTTTTATTAAGGTTCATAAAGTTTGTCACGCTAAATTCATATTTTGAATAGAAGCATGGTCATTTGCTGTTTCGCACGGAGATTTTCATTTAACGTAAAGCACTTTTAAATTTAAATAACTTTAAATCTCTGAGTGAATCCAATAATATTTTAAAAGGTTATTAAAGCAAAAAGTTTAAAAGGGAAAGACATTAAAGCAAACTTTGTCTTCATTTTTTTTTTCAACACAAATTTAAATTATTGTTTTATCAACAATTTTATTTTATTAATTTTACTACTTTAAGTATATTAAAATATATATTAAATTTTTTTCTAATAGCTAATCAATACTAATAGAAACCAGCAACTTTTTTGCTTCACTTTAATGACCCTGAACCTTTTAAAGGTTTTTTTAACTTTGATTTACTGAATGGATAAAGTCTTCACAATAAATTTACTTATAAACTAAATCAAAACGACCAGTTAAGTTACAACAGTAACTTACAGTTACTCAAATATTAACTTATCAATTTTATTAATTTATTTAATATACTCAAAGACTCGCAAAAGTTAGCCATACAAATGTTTCTATTTATATCTTATATTTTGTTACCACATAATAAAAGCTTTTAACTAAAAATTATTCTAACAAGAAATGTTGAACAAAAATGAAAAACGCTATACCATTTTTTTATGTTTAATTTTTATTTAAAGTGATATTAAGATTAAACATTTTCTATAAATATGCAAGTTGAACAAAAGAATTTATTTGAATAAAAGAATTCTTCTAAAAAGTCTTTTAAAATTCTTTCATTCAAATATTATTTTGCGATTAAAAATTAAAATTTAAAAAAAAAAAAAAAATTATAATGTTCAACAATTAAAAATTTAATTGTAGCGGCGTCTGTAATATCCAGTGGCATAGCGATTGTCATTCCTGAAAGTTGAACTTATACTTACAGTAACAATATCAGATTTAGAACATAGTGCAAGTAAGGAAGAAAATTTTATTTAAATTGTAAACTTTTTTAAAAGTATATATGTTTTTGTTTCTTGAAAATAATATTTAAAATAGTAGCATTGCAAAAATTAAACCAGTGATTGTTGCAAACATTAGACCAAAAATTAAATTTTAAAAAATTTAAATACAAAAAAAAAGAAAATATTTTACTTCTTGTCAAGGAAATTTTATTTCAAATAAATAATTCAAGGATATACTTTATTTTTTTTTAATTTTTTGCAAAAAAAAAGAAAAGAAAAATGTATGTGTGAGTGTGTGTGTGTGTGTGTGTGTGTGCATGTGGATTATGGATTATAACAAATAATCACATTAAGTGAACATGTTTAAAGCATTTCTCCTGAAAATAAACCAAAGTTAGAAATTAAATGCATATATCTAACACAAAGCTGAAATATTCCAAAATTTACAACATACAATAAATCGTTCAGAGAAAAGAATAGAGCTAAAACATTTAACAAGAAATAATTGTATTGCAAAAAAAAAAAAAAAAAATTCTAATAATTTTTTATTTTTTTTGGTTTTTATTTTAGTAATAAAATAAAAATTTATTTTTATTACTAAATAAAAAACCATTATAAAAAGAATTGCAAAAAAAACCAAAAAACATTAGCTGAAAACAAGAACATTGTGTAATAATCTTTATTGTAAACTTAAATGTTTTGAACGGATTATAATGAGTCACATTTTACTATAAAGCATGAAAAAAAAATTTACTTAAGGAAAGAAGATGCTTTAATCTCTTTTTTTTTCCTGGTCTTTGGTGTACAGGAGCTCCAAAAATGACTTGGACTCTTATGCTTTTTATAGTGAGGAGTCCAGGAGTCTTTACCACCATTATCTAAACGATTTAAACGATTAATTTCAAGTGTTTTTTTCAGGGTATTTTTTCTCCCTCAAGTGAAGGATATTTAATATCAAATGCACAGTGAAAATGATCATTTTGTCCATCTTAAACATAGTTAACACATTTTTAATCCATCAAAGAGCACAGCTCAGTTTGATTTTTTTCACTACATTTAGCACATATGGGCTCTTGCTTCTTGCATTCCTTTGCAAAACGCCCAAAGCTTTGACAGTTATAATAACACATTACATTGATTGACAGTTATAATAACACATTACATCTTGGATAAAACTGTTTTGTGAATGCAGCATACTAACAACTTCATTTTCATTTAGGTATTCATTTAGGTAAACCACTAATAATAATTCTTTGCATGTTTAATTGATATAATTTTATTTTTATTTGATTGTTCATGCCTTCGAGAGAATTTTGCTAGCTACTTTATCTTCTTTTAAAATAAATGGGCAAACAACGTGAAACCTTGATTTGCATATGAAATATTGAACATTTTCTGTTACTGATGCTGTATTTTGGCAGGCAGGACAATCACCATTATTGTCTAATTTACTGGTAATTGACATTCTTTGGATTTATTTCTTGATGTGTATTTTATGAGTAAAACACTTTTTAAAAGAAGAGTTACCACTTTTTTTCAGCGGATTATCTCTGGGTCAAAATCTATTATATATTATTATTATCTGAAACTTACACAGGGACTAAAACACAGGGACTAAAAAGTTTCAGTATGTGTTCTTTTCTGAAGTTTGGAATTAATGTATAATTATATAGTTCCATAAATGGAATTAATGATATTTATTTAATGAAAAGCTTCAAATGCCCTAAAATTTCATTCTTAGATTTTAAAACCTTCTAAATTTTGGATATATATGTTAAAAGTAATGTGCTTACAAGCTAGTATTTAATAATAGACTTATTAAATTGCTTCTTCAAAAACTCTATTGTCATAGTCATATATGTTTTCCTTTTGGTAATCTACATTAGTATTTGTACATCCATTACACTTGGACATATCATTACATACAAGTTAATTTTTCAAACATTTGCACCTTTTATTTCTACATTCTCTTTTACAACAACAAACACTCAACTCAATTGCTATTGATGCTAGCAGGTTATTTGTCATTATAGGTTTAAGAAATCCATTGTTAAATTACCAATTGTACTCCACAGGCAACGGTAGATACTGTATGGGCATGTTATAGCATTTAAGCACTAAACATACAAAGTATAAAAAATGTTTATGGTTTATATATTAAAGACATTAATTGTTGGTGGATACCAAGATTTGATAGTGCAGCAAGGGTTTCGTCAGTGGTTCCAGAAAAGCAACCAATTTGATTACAGCCAGTAAACACATGAAAACCTGAAGAAAAAATATTTAACGAAGACTCTTATTTTCATTAACAAGGAGAAAAAATGTTAAACAGGAATACCTTAAATAGCATGTAACTTTTTAGAAACAATTGCTTTGTAACTTTTTTGAATCAAGGTGTCATGCTCCAAATAACTGCTTCAGCAACTTATTACAAATTATAGAGTCATCAGTTACCTTGTACTTTATTTATATTTTTTTCTTGTTCTAGACTTAAATGTCTGTTCAATGTATCTGTCACAAACTAATCTTATCTCATTGCAGATTTCGCATCTTTAATACTGTCAAGACCATATAGATATATCTCTTTATTATATGATTTTTTTATCCTTTCAGTAACAAAAGAATGGCAGAGCTCTTCTTTGATTTTTCCATGATGAACTAACACATCTTTTTTTTTATAATTATTTTTTTTAACATCTTCGTTTCCAACAAGGCTGCAAGCAGTCATTATTAGAGTTGGAAGTAACTGGAAGGGAAAAGATGAAGTTTATAGAGCAAGATAATGATTGACAGACAACTTAAAGCGAATTTCAAAGGACTGATGTTCAAGGAAAAAAACTAGACAAATAAGAATTTTTCGAGCACTTAGAAACAGTCACAGAAAAAGAACGAGACTTAATTGAATGACAAGTAACACATGTATTAACTTTAGTAGATGGTACAAGAGACGCCTGCTTTTTATAGCAATGCCCACTATAGTATTTATAGAAAAGAGATTGATAAGCAACATTAGAATGATGTGATAAGGGTTGAAGGTTAGCTGGAAGAGCAGATCTAACTATGCTTAAAGGGACTACCAAGTCCCAAGACATGTTGTGTTCATATTAAAGAGAATGTTAAAAAAAAACGTCTGAGCAAATTTTTTTTGATTAAAACTAATTAATAAGTGTATACCAAGAAAAACAAATCTTGTTGTTTTAGTCGAAGCTCGTCTTCTCCTTTTTCTGTGGTATTTTGAGTATGTAAAATAAATGCGATTTTCCAGGCGCATTATACAGACTTGATAATTTATTCAAGCGCGTTTAATTCATAGGAGTTTTAGTACATGACGTCATAGATTTTTTTTTTGCTTGTTTAAAACACCAATTGTTATTTTTTACATACAATTTCCAAATCATATTCATTTTTATTATATTTTAAAGTTCTAAAATGTGTTTGTAAAACAAAATTAAAAACAAAATAAAATTAAAAACAAAATAAATAAAATAAAAATTAAAAACAAAAATAAAATAAAAAACAAAATAATATTTTATTTGCCCAACTTTTTTTAAATAATCGTCTAGACCACGTGTATTTTGATTTCTTTTGTAATAAGTTTTTCTTTCAAAATATTAGATAAAATAATTTTTAACCTAAATAATAATGCACTTTTATTAATTTATTTTGTAAATATT